AGCAAGATATTTCTCAAACCAACAATGAGAATTCCCTATCTCACCCTTGCCCTTGAATACTCAAAAAAACACTATAAATACATGGTGCCCTTTCACTAGTGAAAACACCTCTCATCTTGAAATCTATACCGTGTCTTTTCATGTCAAAGTGGCTTGGTTGAATCTCCAAACTTGAAGAGGTAAGAAGCTGCCATTCCATGTTCTCCAAACCCCCTTCTTTCTTCTTCGTTCTTTTCTTCTTCTAACTTCGGTTTTCTTTGAAGGTTCCCTAGAACCTTCCCCTTTTCAGCTAGCTTTCATTTCTTCTATTTTTGAGGTAAGGAATCGAAATCCTTGCTGCAAATGGAGGTATCAAGTATTAAGAGGAAAAACTTCGAAATTAATTAAAAGACACCCCTAATTCTTATTTGTGTTGCTCTTGCTTTTAAATTGTTTCTTGTTGTTAATCCGTAGGATTTATGTTATTGCATGTATGATCAGAGGTCTTAAATGGTAGATTTGAGTTGATTTCTTTCAAAGAAAATATTAGTTTTTTCGAAAATTGTGAGGAAATTAAATTGGGAAAAAGTTTTGGGGTTGCATGTGTAAATCTGCATATTTTCGGGCCAGATCTGTAAATTGTGAGAAGTCAGATTCATTTGAGTTTTCAAAACTGGTTTTTAGCATTTATTAAACGGAAATTTCAGATTGAGGAAATTTCTAAGAAAAAGGGTAATTTTTGAACTCTTAGTGGTCTTGCATGTATGGATCTAAAAGTTTTGTGGTGGAAAATGGAATTTTCGAAGTTGTTGCATAGATTAAAACCTTGATTTCATTTTTCTGCATATTTTGGGTAAATATTTCGGATTTTAAGGGTTGTTCATGAAAAATTGGATTTTGAAATGTTAGTGTTGATGCATGTGCAAATGAAAAGAATTTTTGGGGTAAATCTGTAATTTTAAGGAAATAAGTTTCAATTGGAGTTCCAAAATTGTTTTCAGCATTTAGTAAATAGTAATATTCAGTTTTTAAAAGGTTTTACTAGAAAATGGAATTTGTGCATTTTAGAGGTCTTGCATGTATAGATCTAGAGAAGTTAGGGTGAATTATGTAATTTTTGGAAATTCTGCATCAAATCATTTCTAACTGAGCTTCCTGCATTAATTCGAATTTCCACTAAATTAAGGGTTGATTTTCATGAAAGTATGATTTTTGAACTTTTAATCATATTGCATGTGTGAGTCTTAAAACTTTGGGGGCAGAACTGTAATTTTCAGAAGTTCAGGGGTGTTGTGCTGAATACCCGAAACCTACTAAACTAGCATGTTTTCCCTTAAATCTTAGAATCTATTAGCAATAAGATTTGGAATTTAGGAGCTTAGAGAAACATAGTAGATGAATTGGTCTTGAATGGTTTGTGTGTTATTTTGAATAAGTATGCTTTAATGTGCTTTTCGATAAAGGCCAAGCTCATGCGAAATATGTGTTTATTTGTCACTTGATTGATATTTGTGATGTTTTAAATTATTATGGGTGATTGTGAATTATTGTCATTCTTTAGGTACTCAAAGGGGATTTCCAATAATTCGTCTAGGCCATTTTGATATTAAACAAATAATTTGGGGAATTAATGAAATACTTAGAAAGGATGAGAATGGATACGGGGGGCCGGTATTCCAACCATAGATACTACAGATGAGTGGTTTGATTCCACTAAAACGGGCTCAGAATAATCTTCTTGTTTTCTAAGTACAAAAGTTAATTTCTCATCGGATCCGATAAAAAAAAAACGAAGATTCTTTATGTTTCTATAGTTAATAAGTTATATGTCATAGAAATGTAAATTGTGTTAAATGTTGTTGTGCTTGTGCTATTATTATATAGTATATGTAGTATGACTATATTTTAAAATTCTCGGTATCTTTCGATAACCTTACTGAGCTTTGTTAGCTCATATAGATATTCTCCGTTTGCAGGTACTAGCACTATTCACTCCACCGGATTGGACTAGTCGACGGTTCGAGAGGCCGATTCCGGATTTTTGGTTCGAATGGAGGATTTACTAATAATGCTTGTAGTACTATCTTTTGTGTACCTTGTCCTTAGGACGATTACTATTTCTGTAGTAGCTCATGTGTATTATTACCCGTGGTAGAGGAGACTAACTCCTCGGAATGTGGGCCCCTTTTTGTTAAACTATGGTCCATCTATGTAGAATTAGCCTATTGTTTAATTATGGACTTTAACCTTTTATTCTTATGTTTTATCAAGGTGACACCACTTATAGCCTATATTATCGAGAAATCGGGTAGTTAGACATGCATTCCTCCATCCCACTAAATCATTCCACCGAGAAATCTTTCGAAGCCAATTCCGTCTTAAGTCCTAGGTTATGAACAACAAATCAATTCACCAAACCTCGTAGTCTACCCATATATTTAAATACTCGTATAACACGTTTAAAGCTTCCGTGCACGGCAAACCCTCTCGGTTTGCTACACATATACTAGGGGGTGTCACAAAGGTTAACCATATTCGTGATATTGGGAGCCATTATAGAAATTCACAAAAGTTTACCAAGAAAAATATTATCGAGATAACAAATTGAAAAGTGAAATCAGGGTGTGAGAATGAAATATATATATATATATATATATATATATATATATATATATATATATATATATATATATATATATATATATATATATATATATATATATATATATATATATATATATATATATATATATATATATATATATATATATATATATATATATATATATATACACACACACACGTATATACCCCGAGTGTTTCAGTTGGATTTTACACATGGTAACCACCTAAGTAGTGGGAAAGTGGATAGGAAATTGATTCCGTAAAAAAAACTAAGTAAATAATTGTGTATTCATGTAACAAAGAAACAAATAAAAAACCAATCTTGTAGTGGGGTCGGGTAGAGGAGAAGGTAGTGGGTCTATGTAATGGATGTAGTTGTGGGAGGGGTTAAAGAACGTGTTATAGATGGTTAAAATTGAATTGGGTTTAATTTTAAATAATTTGATTTCTTATGACCAACTTGTAATTTATAAAGTTATTCTACAAACTTAAGATTTACAGCCTAAATCTTAAACCCAACTCTTAATCACCCGCTTCACTCCTACAAATTATCACCATCTTCGGCACCCTCGTCTTATCGACGGTTCTTCATTTTAGGAACCAAATTTGTGGGTTTCTTAAAATCAAGAACCATTGGTCGACGGGACGAGGGTGAGTTTTGCTAGAATCCGAGGGTGTATGACCCGCGCACACCCCTAGTGTTTATATGCAATTCAAATATGTTCAAGTTTAATGATAAATATTTAATGATCTGTAATTAATACTGATGCTGCTGAAATGTCCAATTGCAACCTAAGAGTTTTTTAGCTCACAAGGGTAGAAATTTCGAGAGTCACTGCCACGCGTTCGAGGTAGTCAAAGGATCGGCTTCATTCGTTAACCTACAACAGTTGAAACATTAGGTGACACGTAGGGGTGACCCGGCGATTGTCCTCCGAAGCTCAAGTCAAAAAACTATCACAATATAAATAACTAATATTAATTAATTGCCTAAATAATGCGTCCCTTGTTATGTGAATTATAACACATATTTACAGGTAGAGTTAATGTGGTTTTCTTGTAGAAAATCAATGTGGACAAGAAACATTAGATTTCTTCCCACGGGTCATACACCCGCGGGTTCTTGATTTATTATACTACATAATATAAACAGAACGACGCCGTTTTGTATGGCGGGGCGAAAAATCAAGTTTATATTTATCCGCCACCATTGTCGTGAGATTACAATACGTGCAGTGCAACACACCAAGTCGGGCGTTCTCATACGCTTCAGACACTGGTCACAATATATGCAGCTTAAAAAGAACTTTTTCGGTGAGATTTTCTTACAATAGGTTTAACTACGTTATGGATTTGATTCAAATTCTTCTTTCACAAATAAATTTTTGGATGTGCTGTAGTGAAATCAGATGTAACGCGGGATTTCCCACAAAGACATTGAAACACCAATTTTTCAAACAATATAACTAACGTCATAATAATTGTTGTGCCCCCAACGTTAACAGATGGTGACTCTTGAAGACATAAAACGTAATGAGTCTACAAAATAAAAAATAAATGGCATAATAGGTTTATGAAAATGAAAAATACCATGGCCAACCCAATAATTCAAGAGACGAACATTGTGTGAAAGCATATAACTAACATATGGGGAGTCATTGTCTTCAGACTTCAATTATGGCTGGTTTATACCAAAAAAAGGAACATGGTTAGCAACTATTATGTGTTGTGAAATTTAACAACATGTGATGCAAAAATAATTTAAATAAATATTTTTGTTGTTTTCTTTGGAAAGTAATTGCGTGTTGAAAATTCTAGGTGAGGAAGAAGAGGATGAAAAGAAATTTAATTGAAACTTTTTTATGTAAGCAAGAAGAGGACGAATAAAAAATTCTATGGTTTTGAGTGGAGTTCTCCATCAGATTCAATAGTATACAGTTTGTAATGGGGTTCTACCATGAGGGGTCACGTAGTAGGTAGTGGACGATTAGGGTTATGAAGAAAACTAAATTCCGAAAGAAAAGAAAAAAAAAATAGAAAAGGAATGGAAAAAAAAAAACCCGTTCATCAAGAAATCGAAAAAAAAATAGTGATAATATAAATGTTGGATAGTAAATTATAGAGTTTTAAACTCTATGAGATCAAAAATAGAGCAAATATAAATTTGAAATTAGAGATTTATTTATTAATAATATTGTCCATAGGTTTAGGTCTAGGGTTATAGTTCAAAATATCTTTTCTTTTATATATAAGATAATGATGTACCCTTTTTAGAGAGAAGTTAAGAAGGATAAATGTGATTAGGTGACATGTGGACCCATCTTTTGGAGAGTGAATTTGGAGAGCACCATTGTGAATGCTCTTACATACTAGATATGATATATACAATTGCTCGATTAAGAAAAGAAAAATATAGTTACCATCGGTCAAGTATTTCAGGAGTTTCCGACCCATGTAAATTTATTCTCACTGTTAGGAGAATTTAAAACATTCATTCATGCTAAGAATAATTCTAAGTAAACCAAATAAAAAAATCTAAAATCAATATTTATTTTTCCAGTTTCCAACTCTGTAAGCTTGAAATGTCTTCTTCGAGGTAAAAGTGGAAGAGATTTTAACAGCATTTTTTTCTTGATTAAATGATGTGTAACTGTTTCTCAATCAGTCATACTAAAAGTCTAATTCATGCCAAAAACAGATTTATTCAAGAATTGTGTCAAAAAGTATTGCAGCCCTCAACCAATAAATGGAATATTATTATTAGTATATCACCCCCAACAGCCTCATTAGTGTTTCTGTTTTCCAACTCCAATCAAACTTAGCTGCAAAAAAACATGTCATATTTGTCAAGAAAAAAAAAAAGACATGGGGGGATATTATTATTAACGTGATAAAAAAATAAAAAAAATCCAAGAGATGAAAAAGAAAAACTTACAATGTTGTTACCAGGATGGTTCCAATAAAATCCTTGTAGAATGAGAGGTAAGATATTGCAGGCTACAAGAACATATATCACCAGTGCGTTCATTCCCATCCATTCTAAAACCATTGTAAACCGTCTGTATCCATACACATCCACCTGCGTATCCAACAACATCAAAATAAAGTTACTTCTCCGAGTATATTCACAGCTGGAGAATTTATTGAGGCTTAATTAATTACCACTAGATAAATTGAAGCAAGCAGAATCCCTGCAACACCAGTAGTAACACACATATAGCTGAAAGAGTATAAAGCCTTGTTTATATGCATCCCTACATCAATAACATATTATCCCGTCAGTCAATCCCATACGTATATTAATATTTCCACGTGCATAAATTTAAAAACAATTAAATGAAAAAAAGCCTTACCAAAAATATTGCATAGCACGCCCAGGATTATAAAGCCCGATGATGGTACTAGCCATTGCAAGAGTCTATACTTATGATCCTGATGAGATTAAGGTAGAAATATCAGATCATGAGAGAGAGAAAGTAACTCTGCTACACCGCAAAAGAAAAAAAAAAAAAAGGGAAAGGAAAAACTTGTTTGTACCTTAAAGTGAACAATAACATGGCCATATTGTACACCTATCAAGCAGGTGGCAAGTGCCATCACTGTACTAGAAAAATTGCAAAACGAGGTTAACGGTTAAAAACTGAAGGAAAGAAATGAAGGTTCAAAATGGTAGTGTAGTGAAATAAAAAATACAAAAGAGGCAAAGAAACCTTAAAAGTCCTTCCGGGTCAAAGGGGGCTTGACACCAAGATGGAGCATTCGGAGGAAGTGGGCCGTAATCTGGTGAGTTTATACTGCATTGCTGTCATAGAAAAGTTGCGTCTCAGATTTTTTCTTTTTTTTTTTTTTTTTTTTTTTTTTTTTTAAAGAAAGCCATATAACAAGTGAAGACGATATAACTTTCCACTTAGTAAAAGAATTACTTGTGTTCGAGCGTATATTGGCTTCCTATATAAGTGTTGAATGCCCAGAATCACACGATCAATCATTCCAGCAGCATTACATGCAGGCCCTGTGTTACCTCGCACACCACATTTCACCTTCACCAGCTATGTCAAAAAATGTCACAAGTCTAGTCCCGAATGTTTAAAAAAAATATATATATATATATATATATATATATATATAATGAAGTATAGCAACTTACTTCTCGAACCTCAGATGATGCACTGAGTGGAACTTGATACGACCAATCTGGAACATATAAACCGTATAACAACACAAGATATACTGTAGTAAGCATGAACACCATCACCCTGCATAAATTTAGAAACAAGAATCTTTAATTGAAACCATTAAATTCTAGAAACTGCACTGTTTGAGAGTATATATAGGAATTTTACCAGTGCCATTGATACTTCTTGAGCAATGATAAACCAGAACCAACTTTTTCGTCGTTCCGGAGCCAAATCTCACACATTGCTCCCACCAAATATGCTATTGCAATCCTCTAAACGAGACACCAAAAATAGTAAGCAAAAATATTTTGTGAAATCATAAACAAATTATTCACACAATGATGCAAACAGATTACTCTTCAACAACAACACACCTGCAATATGCCCATCCACCTAATTTGTCCCATGTCCACACCATACGTTAAATTATTAATACCATGAAAATAGCCACCTGATGATATAACAAAAATTATATTGCAATGAGTCGGTGAACAAATACATAAACGATGCAAATAATATTTCCCAAAAGTAATAATGGATAAGATGTAGAAGAGCACCTTGGAGAAAAACCCCTAGTATTAGAAACTTTACTGTCCGGAATATGGCTTTTCTGGATGCAGTGGCTCTACAGGGCATATTCTACAAAAGAAAAGAAAAGAAAACGAAAAAAGAAAGAAAAAAACAGAGTTATACTAGAATGAATATATTGTAAAGTGGTCCATATATATATACAAAGTGTAGTGAGAGAAGAACAAGTACCTTGTAAACAAGTCCAAGTGAAACACCGACCATGAAAAGGAAAAAAGGCATGACAAAATCAGCCAGCGTCAAACCATTCCATGGTGAGTGATTTATACTTGGTATTATCCCACCAGCATCATCAACAATTATCATTAACTGCAATTACACAAATCAAATTATTATTAATATACATATTCAAATATCAGTTTCCTTTACATAATAATCCTGTTCTAGTCAAATTTTCTTAGTAGGCCCAAATCTATATTTTTTTTACTGCACGTGGATATTTTTTTTTTTTTTTTTTTTTTTTAACAAAATGCAAACTTCCACCGATTATCAATATAACATCATCAAGGTTCTCTTTAAAAAAAAATGAAATAAAAATCGAAACCTCAATATTCATCGGGAAACAAAAAGAGTGGCACATGGGAAAAGATAATTTTTTTGGTAATTACATTGACCTATGCATCCCAATTTCTTTAGATTTTAATTTACTCAAACACAAAAAATTAAGAGTAGCAATTTGATGAGATTGTGGAAATTGCAACAAGAAGAGATAATAATAATAATAAAAATAAAAAATGAAGAAGAAAAGTTACCACAACAGTAAGGCCACGAAAAACATCAAGGGAGACGAGGCGAGAAGATGGCTGAGTAGAAGAAGCTTTAGGCCTCAATCTATGTGAAGGAGATGAAGATGAAGATTGATTAATCCTTTGGAAAGCAGACTCCACATCATCGTCAATCCTCACTGTACAGTTGTTGTTTCCCTTCATATCCAACCCCCCTCCTCCTTCTTTGATTAGTTGGTATGACGCCATTTTATTTTTATTTAATTTAATTTACTCAATTCAAATCCTTAAATAACCCAACTCTCCTTTCTCTGAATCGACCCCCTGTTTACAATTGTAGAACCAGAAAATAAAAAATCAAGAAAAACAACATGCGACGGTGGGCATTGTCATATACCAATAATAATAATAATAATATAATAATATTTTCTGGTATTGATTGTGATTTCTGGTATTGATTGTGATACCAATAATCTTGCATTTGGAGGGAGGAGGTGCACAAGATCTAACTAATCCCACCGAATTTAATGGTGTGGGTATTTATATATTATATTTAATGAGTTACCCAAAAGATACACACACAGAACACACAGAGATGGAGATGGAGAGAGAACCGAGAAACGTAAAGGGTGGGGGTGGCTTTTTCAATGGCCATTCGACAGACGCCACCCAACCCCACCCCAAATCCTTTCTCTCTCCTCTCTCTCTCTCTCTCTCTCTCTCTCTCTCTGCAATTTATTTTGCAAATAAAGGGATACGTTACCAGATATCTTTTGATCTAGTTTGCGGATATCTCTGAAATTGCTATATAAATGAAACAAACTATAACAAGCCCGGTGTTTGTTTTCTAAGTTTTATCCTTATTCTGCCACGTACCCTGTAATTATATATATTATCTTCAATTAAAAAAAATATTGTTCAAATAATGCCCTACTTTCCCGCCTCCCATCAACATTATTATTCTTTTATTAATTATGATTTTATTTTCCTTACTCACTATTTTAAATGATAGAGAACTTTGGAAAGGTTTTAATATTTTTTAAATTAATAATATATGCCCCGGACATACATATAGCAAATTGCCCCTTATAACTTTTATAAAGATTTAAATTCAGTTACAAATACGAAACAATATATATTGACGTGATTTGAAGCAACACCTTTATTCTCTAAAAAGACCTAAATAAATGCCCAAAAACACATGATATGCGTTTCCTCCATGCCTATTATATCACTATTTTATTCTTATGAGTTATGACTCTACATTGTACGGCAAAAATAAAAAAGTCCACTTTGAATAACAACAATAACAATATTTCATTATTATTATTATTATTATTATTATTATTATTATTATTATTATTATTATTATTATTATTATTATTATTATTATTATTATTATTATTATTATTATATGCAGGGCCGGTCCTGACATGTTCGGGGCCCTAAGCGAACTTTTGAAAAATGACCCTTTTATGATTAATGCTTATTTAACTTGATAAAACAAACAAAAATAATATATTATGACATTAGTTAATGAGGATAAAAATGCATAAACCTACACTAGATATCATTGGAATTGTTATTATTATTTTTTATAATTTTGTTTTAGTTGCACCGTAAGTTATGAAAATAAAGACGAATTATCTCTTTTTTTTCGATAATGATGGATGGTAAAATATTAAATTTGATGTAGTAGGAATTTTGTTTTCATCCCAATTCTTAACAGAAAATTATACAATTAATTTGAGCATTGATTGAAAATAGACTCTAAAACCCAATTAAATATTGTAATTTATAAATAACCCATTTTAAATTACTAAAACACAATATTATTTAAATATGTATATATACTTTTTTTTTTTTTTATTTGGGGGCCCCCTAGAAAGTGGGGGCCCAAAGCCATTACTTGTGCAGCATGGCCTCAGGGCCGGCCCTGATTATATGATTAATATTATCATAAATATTATTAATATTAATACCTAAATGTATGCCATTTTTATGTACCTTCACACACAAACGCCAAAAATCCACATAAAGATTTCAAGAAAGCAATGAATTCGGGGGTAAACGATAAGAAAAGCAAGATGAGGATTCCCACTAACCACAATTTAAATAATACTGCACTGAAATCTGAATAAATAAATATATACCTGTACGTACGTGTTTTTCTTCTTCTCTTATTATATATCTGGACTCGGTTGCACCTTCCTTCCTCGTTTGCTCTTTGTCTTGATAAAAATAATTTTATTTCTTCGAGTAAGTTTATGGTGAAGTAAAATTTTGAGGAAGAAAAAAACTCCTCTTATTCCTCTTGTATGTCAATCGCTTCTTACATAAATAAATTCGAAAAAGAAAAAGAAATCGGTTATTTATAACATGGACTCTCCTTGTGTTGTATGTATTCCTATGAAGGAAGAAGTGTAACCCCTTAAGGAACGTATCCCATTAATCCTATTTCAATTTGGATTTTCATTTTATTTTTTATTACAAATTCCAATCCAATTTTCTACACCACCTTTTATTTGGATTAGGGGTAAAAGTCGGATGGATCGAATCGAAATTAGCCTTTTCGGAAAATTTCCAAAAAATTTCAGAAGTACAAAATCAATTCCAATTCCAATTCCAAAATTTTCAGAATCTAAAATTTCATTCCAATTCCAAAATTTTCGGAATCTAAAATTTCATTCCAATTCCAAAAGTCCCGGAATTTTCGGAATTTCGGAAAAAAATCAGAAATCGCACGAGCTTAAAAATTTCAAAACTTAGCGGATTTTTTTTAAAATGTTCATAATTTTCCAAAAATAAGAACATCCACATCGATAAAAGTAAAACTAATAACTACTAAATTTCAGTTCAAAAAATAAATGGGGTAATGGCAAATAGGCCCATGACAAGGGCACTTAATTAAAAGAGGGACATTCAACTTTTTTGTCTTTCAATAAATCCACCCTATTCAAACTTATTTGCAAATAAGGAAAATCCTTTTATATATACCAAAATTACCCCCAATTCAACTCCAATTTCATGATTTACACCCCAATTTCATCAATTAACCAATTTTAACCCTAATTTCAATTTTGACCCCAATTTAAACCCTAATTCTTATCAATTCCACCAATTATGCTCTAACTTCCTTAATATTACACATTGACCCCGGATTTAAACAAATATATCACATTAACCCCCCAATTTTTTTTTTCAGAAAATATTTTTTTTCTGAAATGTTTTTTTTCCGGCCAGATTCCGGCGTTGACCGCCGGAGACCGCCGGTCTCCGGCGTTGACTTTTTTTTTTTTTTTGAATTTTGTCTTTTCTTAATTCTTTTTTAATTAATATTACTGTCTTGGCTGCTAAATTACTGTCTCCGGCAGTTAAATAACTGCCGGAGACAGTAATTGAGCTGTTAATTGACTTTTTTTTTCTTTAAAAATATTTTAATTAATATTACTGTATTCGTTGCTAAATTACTGTCTCCAGCAGTTATTTAACTGTTGGAGACAGTGATTTAACTGTTAATTGACTTTTTTATTCTTAAAAAAAATAATTTTAATTAATATTACTGTATTCGTTTGCTAAATTACTGTCTCCAGCAGTTATTTAACTGTCGGGGACAGTAATTTAACTGTTAATTGGCTTTTTTTCATTTTTTTTCTTAAAAAAAATATTTTAATTAGTAGTAATGCCTTAGAGATGCTAAATTACTGTCTTCAACAGTAATTTAGCCGTCTTAGACAATAATATTAATAATATTACTGTTCGGAAAAATAATATTCATAATATTACTGTTCGGAAAAAATAATATTCATAATATTACTGTCCCAAACAGTAATATTACTGTATGAGACAGTAATTTAGTAGCTAAAACAGTAATATTAATTAAAATATTTTTTTCTTCTAAGAAAAAAAAATCAAAAAAAAAAAAAAAGTCAACGCCGGAGACCGGCGATCAACGGTGGTTGACCGACCGGAAAAAGTTTCAGGAAAAAAAAATTTCAGAAAATACATTTCAGAAAAAAAATTATTTTCTGGAGAAAAAAAAGTTTTGGGGGTTAATGTGATATATTTGTTTAAATTCGGGGTCAATGTGTAATATTAAGGAAGTTAGATCATAATGGGTGGAATTGATAAGAATTATATTATTGAGGGTATTTTAGACTAAAGACATGGGGATGGGCTTAATTGAGAGACTGTTTTTTTTTGGACCAAAATGCATTTAAGTCCCATGTGATGGGCCTTTTTGCCATTTGCCCAAAATAAATAAACATAAACACAACATAATATCTAATTAAACTTCTGACAACAATTCATTATGTCAAAATCCTAAAACAAAACTTAAAGGTGTATTTTTCGGAAAAATAAGTGTTATATAATATTTATTATTTATAGGTGTATTTTTCGGAAAAACATCGGAATTTTTCGGAATTAATTTAAGAATCAAATCGGATCGGAAATCGAAAATTCCAAATTTATTTTATATAATTCCAATTCCAATCCAAAAAAATCGGAAAAATTCGGAAATCAGAATTTCGAAAGTCGGAATGAAAAAAGTTGTTCCAAAATCGGAACTTTTCGGATCGGAACCGGCGGAAATTGGAATTTCCGTTCCAACTTGCACCCCTAATTTGGATCAATTGTTATAAGTCCATCAATGGGTACTTATTCATAAAGAGATTCATACAAAAAACTTCTTAACAAATAAGTTCACACATGGTTCAGATTTTTGTAAAAGACTAAAATAAACCATCATCCTTTAATATGCTCCAATTTCATCATTAATTTAATTTAACCTCGATGTGACCCCAAATTTCATAAATTATTCAATTTTGACCCAAAACACATTTTTATGGATAAATTCGTCCGTCACCACCGTTGACCGCCGGTCTCCGGCGTTGACTTTTTTTTTCCCCGAATACTATATACAAGCAATATGCCGTAACAAATCTTCACCGCATGCCATTGTGTACCAATCTGGAACCGCATTCTCCGTTTCCTAATCAGTATCGTCCATCGCAACAATGAGTCCAACAATAATCATGTACGAACATTCTATCCTTTACATATCATAGAATACTAGCTTGTATACATCAGTTTTGTATCATTAATAAATATAATTTTTGATCCTTTACCTTTTTACATATCAATATTATCTCTTATTTCATAACCCGTCTCACCGTATACAATGCTTTGTTTTAATAAATGTGACCCTTATATTCATTCATCTAATATGGATCAGGATATGGGGGCAACTTTGACGCGTCACATGTAGCGTATCATCAACCCCTTCAAATTCACGCCATCATAAATAAAACACACTTTGCAAATATGTAAACATGGCACCGGCACCACGCATTGCGCGGTGTTCCGGAATGTATCTATATGTAAACATGGCACCGGCACCACGCATCGCTCACGGTTAGCTAGCAGATCGTTTTTTTTTGCCATCCCTAGTTGTATGTAACCAATCATACTTAGAAATTATATATTAGTTTGGAATATTCATGCGAGTGGTTGACACTTATGTGTATGCATTGAGAGTTGTCTGTTCAAAAGGATGAGAAAATGCCGGATTGAAAGTTGTTGGAGGTAAATGTTGTAAACTCACATCATTAAATTATAGGAATTGGATTCTAACATGAAATTATTAGCTCTACTAATATAAATGGCTACACAAATCATGTAGAGTCAACTTTAAGGAATCGATATTATTTATCCTAGAGCAATAGTATCAAAGCTCTACTAATGTGAATAATGGTCAATCGAATCGTATCAAGGGCTAAGGGACTTGTGAAATTTTAGGGAAAGTGAAATTCAAAAGGATATTGCAAAACAAATATGGTAATCGGGTGCCGGTATCTGCAGAGAAAGTTAAGTAAGTGAAGTCGATTTCCAAAATACACATAATCCTTTTAGAGGACCAATCAAGTGAGATAAAAACGATAAATAAAGTTGTCTCAACTTTTGTAGTATAGAAGTAGGTAGCAGGCTGACATCTAAATTAATATTATTTCCTGGCCAACTGCCTTAAGAAAAGACTAACGAAGTGAACAAATTGCAACACAAGAGGGTCAAAAGAAGAAAAAAAAAAAAAAAAAAGGTTCGAAAATTTATTGTAAAAAAAACAGAATTATTTCTTAAAGTGTTGGAGCAGCCCTTTCGCAACCTAATTAATAGCTCAAAGCAAATAAAAAAAAACGGAGCAGGCAATGTGATCCACGGTGATCCTTCTAACGTCACATAAACTGAAATAAAAGCAAACTAATTTTTTTTTATTTGAGCAAGCACATATTCCCTACTCATCGGTAATATAAAATTCAAGAGATTCAACATGAGTACCTATTATTTTTCTCGTACACCAAAGATAATCAATCACCACTTCAAAAATTTCACCCATTTGGAGAACTTGTTTTCAGATAAAGAGTTTCATATTTAATACTTTATATCATTATGAATCAACAATTGCTAACCACCCTTGTACATCTTCAATGCGTTTCTTAAGCCCCATCACCTAGTAACATAAGTAACAAAAACCTTGACCAATGAAAAATATGGATAAGAAGTGGATCATTCGACCAAGTCAACAAACGACCAATAGTTGATTAACTGATGTGGAATTTTCACTCACAGCAAGCCCGCGAGTTCATAGATTAAAAGATAAGATTAGTTTTTATAGTTAAGTTTTTTCAATGAAAATTTTAACGAATATTTTTTGTACTTCTCTTTGTAGTTAAGGCTCCATATAGATCATTTGGTATACTCGTGGTTTCTAATTTTGATTTCAGGGTGAAATAATGAAAATCTACAAAAACTAGAAAATAAAATATGAATTAGCGTTAAATATCACATACCTAAGTATTAATCCTGCAAAATTGAAGAATGGCCGCCATAGGTCCAGTTTGATCATCGTTGGCGAGAGATATGCATCCATTTATTCAGCAAATGCTTCCCATAAAAGTGCACCTAACTGTATTTGTCTGCAAAAATTAAATAAACTAGCGAACAATACCAATTAATCAACAACTATATAATGACACACCAAATACAAATTGCAAACTTAGTTAAGGATAAATTATAGGATATATTATATACCAAAACAACAATTCATCCACATTCTAGTGTATGCTAGCATGGATCCCCATATCCTACGATTGAACTATCTAGTTTATAACGACCTTGGCTATGTTTTGGAGATTGAGTAAACCAAATGACCATTTAAAGAAATCATCATGGAAGAAAAATAATAATTAATTAAGCATCAACACATAAAATATTCGGCTAATTCGGTTAGAGATGGTTTATCAAAAAGTAATTAGAGCAAAACTTACCATTTCTTCGTCGATCGATCTCGAGATTGGAGATTGGTCTGGCCGTAAAAAGTTTCATGTTCCTCAAAGTGTAGGATTCTTTGAGTTGCAAATATTATCATTTCAGTCGCCGTAAAAAGGTGAAATCTCTGAGTAATTTAATTTTCCTGTTTGGTTTATTAAAGGTAAAATACTTTGGGAGAAAAAGAGGAAAACTTTTTTAGCTAAAAACCATTTTCCCCCAAAAAAATGAGGAAAGCTGGGGAAAAGAAACAATCGGACCTTTCATCTTATTTTCTACATTACTTTTTGTTCAACTCTTCGCCGCCACTTCTACCACCATCACCACCACCGTCGATTTTCCAACATCGTCAACAGCTCAGCCTTCCACCACCTCCTCGCCGGAGATCCGGCGACCATCTCCAACACCCAAATATCTACCAGAAGACCATGTTTGCTGCCTGCTCCACCACCATCAATCTTCCGCCGACGACGACTCTCCAAGCTGACCTTCACCTCCGACTCAACAGTCAACAGCACCGACCTCCACCGCCGACTCAACTCCGACCTTCGCCGCCACTACACCTGCAATCACTACACCCGACTCAACGCCGACCTCCGCCGACACAACACCTGCAGTCACTGCCGCCGGCGACCTCTCCACCACCGCCAACCAACCTCTTTTCATCGCTTGAGCATTTCCGGTCGGCCATGTTTATTGAGCTCTCTTCTCCCCCTGTTCTCCCCTCTCTCCTCCCTCTCTTCTCCTTCCTTCTCTCTCCTCTCTCTCTCTCTCTCTCAAGTCTTCTCTCTCCCCCCTCTCTCTCTCCTCCTGTCAAATCTTCTCTCTCTACCCTCTCTTCTCTCTCCAATTTGATAGAAAAGATAATTTGGTTAGGTGGTATGGTGGTGTGAGGTGATATGCATATTGGAGATTATTTTCATTTTTTATTATTTAATTTAGTTTTGAGTAATAATTTAATGTTATTTTAAGCTTACTCATTCTCTTCCTGGAAACAAACAAAACAAAGAGAAGTAATTTTCTACGTATTCATTTTCATCACTATTTTTCTCAGGAACCAAATCACAATAAGAATTTCAAAAGTCCTTGATTTCATTTTTCTTTGCATTTTTATTTTCTTTATTTTGAAATCCATGAACCAACCAGAGCCTTAATTTCACTATGCACCCTCTAAACGTAATATTTTGGCACTTTGCGCTCCTGAAAAAGAAAATTAATAACAAATTGCACTCTTAAAAAATTATAAATTATTCACATTGCACCCCAATTAATATTTTATTAAAATTTCCTCTATAAATTATTTGATTTGTAGTAGGTCTTTGATAAACAAAAAGTTTGGATGTTATTTTCGTGTAACAAAATATAATTTTTGAGTCATATAATAAGAAAATAATTTAACGGTGCATGAAAATAAACAACTTAACTTAACATTTCGAGAACAAAAATAAATACTATTATAAAGATGAAATAGGCTCAATAAATACTTCATACGAAAGTTTTTCTCTTGTTGGTACATAGTATTACAATATTATTTTTTCATATCATCAGCTATGTTTTCACAATATTGCATAAAAATATACTTTAATACCAAAAGAAAAAAACAATTTTTTTTACCAATTCCAATAAATTTAAAGACATAGCTATCCAATGATTTTGTAATTGTTTTATGAAAATTCTATTATTGGAATTATATTTTACCACACAAAAGAATTTTTTTAGGCCAAATCCCACTGTTAGTTCCTCATCTTTAAATTTCATCCCACTATAGCCCCTCATCTCTTAAATGCACGATTATAGTCCCTCATATCTCAAATCCATCTCATTCTCATCCTTTCTTTCACGGGTCCGTCAAAATTGGCGGCAAATCAATCAAAAAATTAAGACACATTCCACTACATAAGGGCAAAACTGGTAAAATACTTGTATAACCGTTACTCAGCTCATTTTCAGTCATTGAGAGGGAAGTAGAGAACGATTGAGAAATTGAGAGGGAAAGGGAGAATAATTGAGAAATTTGGAGGGAAAGAGAAAACAATTGAGAATTAAGAGGGAAAGAGAGAATGGCATATTTTCAGTAGAAGAACGAGAATTGAGAGAGAATTGGGGGTTTTCAAAGATTTGAAAGCAATTTGAAAGCTTAATGTTGCTTCGTAAAAGAGGGGATTCTTGTTCGCCTGGTTACAGTAAGTTATTCCACAACTTTCTTTTTACTTTCTTGTTTGTTTGATTTCTCAAGTGACTTTCTTTGGTAGAATTATTGTCTATTGAATATGCTATACGATAACGATGAATAGATAACTCAGTAAATTTTGTATCATATGCAGGGCCAGATAGTGTATATTTTACAATCAAAGTTTACCATAGTGGAGAATTTTTGGTGATTCCAAATAAAATTTATTTCGGAGGAGAAGTTGACTATATAGATTACATGGAATTTAGTAAAAATGTCTCTGTCAACAATGGATGAAGTTGGAAAATTGTTAGGGTTTCAAAATCTTATAGGCTTGTATTACAGAATACCAGGCCACGAAGATGATAAAGAATTATTTTTTATGCTAACGGATGAGGATGCATTTCAATTGGCAGAGTATGGAAAATATTACAGTGAAATAGAAGTTTTTATATGCCAATCATACTCTAACCTTTTGCCAGAATAATTTTGTTGTCGAAAAAGATTTTGATAATATTGTGAACGAGAAGGTTCATGTTGAAGATGAATTCGAGTCAAGTGATCAAGAAAGCTTATGTGACAGTGACTATGAAATGAGTGGAGAAGATGAATCCATGTGAAAAAATAAACCTGCTATTTATGATCTCTTGCCGCGAGTTGAGCATAGATATTGTGTTAGACATATGTATAATAATTTCAAGAAGGATCACAATAGTTTTGCACTCAAAGATAGGATGTGGAAAGTTGCACGGGCTACACATCCGAATCAATTCAAGGGTGAGATGAATTCATTGAAAGAATTTGACGAGTCAGCATTTAAATGGCTAGCCGAAGTTAATCCAACACATTGGAATAAATCATACTTTAGAACATCACCTAAATGTGATATTCTTCTTAACAATCTGTCGGAAACCTTCAATTGGGTTATACTGGATGCTAGGGCTAAGCCATTGCTTGGAATGGTGGAGACAATCAGAATATATTTGATGAAGAGATTGCAATCTAGGAGGGACTAGATCAATGTTTTGAAAACTGGACCGGACATCGAACCGGACACACCACTGGGTCACGGTTCGACCGGTTCAACCGGGGTTCGACCGGGTTTTTCACTTTTTTTATATATAATTTTTTTATTAATTTAATAACTTAAATGTAATATATTTTATATTTTTTTTATATTTTATTCCCTCTTTCTTCTCTTTATTATCCAACTAACTCCACTACTTTTATAAAAAATGAATTTATAATCATTTTTTTCTTTCTTCTCTCTCATCTCCCCTCTCTCTCCTTTCTTCTTCCTCGTAAGTTTCACGCAGAAACCACCCCCGCATCTTCTTCCCTTCTTTTCTTTTTTATTTTTCTTTTTCTTTTTCTTTATTGTTCTCCTTATGTTTATTACATCTTCTTTCCATTTCCACACATATATTTTATTTTCTCCATTTCTTCATTTCTCCATTTCTTTTTTCATTTTTTTTTTCTTGACCTTCTTCCTTTTCTTTTCCTCGATTGATAGATATGGCATCCACCACTACGATTGGGTGACAATACGACCCGGATCCGACTAGATCTGTCCACCCACAATCTTCTCCGACCATTTTCGAAGCGGATCCGGCCATGACACCTTCTTTTGAGTTAAAACCCGGTTCTTGGACTGGTTCCCGGTTTTACCGGTTTTTACCGGTCGAACCGGGTTTTCGGTAGTTAACCCGGTTTTTTGACGTTTTTGGGTTTTCACCTATAACCGGACCGGACATGGCGGCGGTTCGCGGTTGAATCGGTCGGACCGGCCGGTCCGGTCCGGTTTTCAAAACATTGGACTAGATCACAAAGTATGCAGGCCTGCTTTGTCCAAAAGTGCAGAAAAAGTTAGAAAAGGTGAAGGATGAATGCAGAGTATGTATTGCTACGCATGCAGGGGATTGGAAAATTTGAAGTGAGGGATATTTATGGTTCCAGATATGCTGTAGATATTGATAACAAGACATGCTCTTACAGAAAATGGGACTTGACAGGTATTCCTTGTACACATGGAGTATGTGCTATTGCATGGTCTGGGAAAATTCCAGAGGAATATGTTCATGAGTATTACTCAGAAAGAAATGCATGTAAGATCATATAAGCACATCATATATCCAGTCAAAGGTCCGCAATATTGGCCACAAACCGAGAAAGCAACTGTCAGTGAAACTGGAACAATTAGATTACCTGGTAGGCCTAAAAAGGCAAGAAAAAGAGAAGCTGACGAACATGGTCATTCTACCAAAGGACCACAAAAGCTGAAAAAAACAGGTCAAAAAACTCTATCTTGCAAGGTATGTGGTAAAGATGGGCACAACACACTAACATGTTCTTCTAAAAAGAAGCAAAGAAGGGAAAATAAAAGTACTTCATCAACTACTCATGTGTCAGCAATAAATTGTACTAGTAATAGTATGGTTTCAATGAGTGTTGATGCAATTCTTGGTCAAGTAAAAGAACCACATAAGAAGAGGAAGATCAAGTGCAGTGTATGTTTCAAAGAGGGCCATAGAAGAAATAAATGTGATGCTCCAGCAGCAAAAATTTGGAGAAATCTTGATTTTTATGCTCCTAACCACCAGTACATGCCACAAGAAGAATCAGAGTTACATGTATTATTAGCACAAGAAAATGTGAGTAAATTATTTTTCTTTGTGTCAGTCAGTACATGTATTTAGTAATAGTTTACTTTTTATTTTTTGAGTAAAGTAATAGTTTACTTTAAGTACTTATTCATTCACTTTTTATTGTTCTGGATATAGGTGGTTCAGAATGTACAAAGTACTATTACAGTTACAGGGGCAAATTCAAGCCAAACTACTACCAATATTGGGGAAGTTTCAATCAAGACAAATTTTATTAAGCATGGCAAAAGATGTGTCACCTCGAAATCATTGCAGGGTGTGGCGAAATCAAAGCTTGCAAAGAAAAAAGTGGAAAATCTGAGGCGAGGAGAATGAGTACACTTACGAAATAAGTTGTACTTTTAATTATTTTTTTGTTTTGAGGATAAATATGGACTATGGAGTATTTTTGATTTTTTTTTTTTTTTGAAAACAGTATTTTTGATTTCACTAGCTATGTTTTGATGCTGGAATTTTGTTTGTAAAATAGGATGTCTGATAGGTATGATTTCATCAGCATGGTTTGGAATTTTGTTTGTAAAATAGAATGTCTGATAGTCATGATTTCATTAGCATGGTTTGTTACTAGGAAAATATATTATAATATATTTTGGAAAAAAAAATTCATTGTTCTTTTTTTTTATTTATGTATTGTATTTCTATGAATTGTTTACAATACAAACCTCATTTTCTTTTACTTTTAGAGTTGCAATGAATTAAGTACGTTTTTTTTTGAAGAAATTAGAAAAGTAAAATGTCCATAATATCCTTATTCTTAATTGATTTGACTGACTTTCTGTTAGTAGTTGACAGTAGTTAATAGGAATGTGAAAGTAAGGACGAGAATGAGATGGATTTGAGAGATGAGGGACTATAGTGAGATGAAATCTAAAGATGAGGGACTAACAATGGGATTTGGCCATTTTTTTTATCTTGGAAATACTATGAAATTATTATACTCATCAATATTAATATTACAGTTGGCGTGGAATGTGAATGATTTATTTCCTTTAAAGGGTGCAAAGTGGTATTAATGTTTTGTGGGGGGTGCAAATGGAAAACACTATATTTAAAGGGTGCAAAGTGGAATTAAGGGCATTTGAGTTGGAAAAATGGGGTTGGCTGCTGGTTTAAGCTAATTACAAAATATAATAATGGTTGATAGGATTTAGAGCAGCTGTTAAATAAATAAAAAGTAATTTCAAGAAAAAAAGAGATAATCAAAGATGGGGGGGCGGCGTTGTATTGCAGTCTCAGCTTTGCTTGTTTTAACGGCGATGGGGTTTTCCTGCGCAGACCGATTAAATAAGTCGGCGGCGGATGATTATTTGCTTGTGGAGGAGGATACCCATTTGGACGGCGGCTTCTCTTCCCTTGACGGAATGTTACAGTGGGCAATTGGTACTTCCTTTTTTGTTTCTTCTTTTACACCTCTCTCTCTCTCTCTCTCTCTCTCTCTCTCTCTCTCTCTCTCTCAATGAGTCAATTCATTCAATTACTGCTGGGCTGGCTGCTTTCATACATTATTTATTTGTGAAATTCGTTCTGGAAATAATATTTTTATTTAAAATTGATAGTTCTAGGTTGAGGTTCTCCATTGAACTCATGATCAATATGTTTCTGGTTATTGGCTTTCTTTTTTTCTATTTCTTGAGATTCAGTAATTCGTTATCTAAAACCTATATAAGAATGAATGCCTATTTTGAATTTATCCAAGAATAATTATCTCGTTGGACTAAATCATGAGTGAATAATTAATTACTGTGGTTCCAGTTAAATGCGAAAAGTCGCCAAATAACTAAGTTAGATTATTTAATGTATGTAACATAATCGGAGATGTGAAATAAACATTCTTTTAGTCTATACTATAATTCAGTTTTGTTTTTATTATGTTTGATTTCGGTAGGTCATTCAGATCCAGCAAAGTTAAAAGAAACTACATTAAACGTTCAGCGCCTTTCCCCCGAAGAGCTGAAGCAACGTCAGATGGAAATCAAGGTTTTATTTCTTGTTATTGAATTCAAACTTATGTTTTATATACTTATAGTTTCTTTTCAGTAACATTGTTCCCTGCAAATTAATATAGTCATGTAACTGCTTTAACATATCACACTTATCACCTAAAAGTATTAAAGTGATGGTTTATCAAATGATAATCCGCAACTTAAATAAATAAACTGTTTCTTTGTCATTTCTTCAAGTAGGGCGCTATTGAGTTTCTCTTGTGTTAGTTTCATTATATAAAAAAGACTCCTGTTGTTCTGTTTCTTTACTCTGCAGATCTGATATTTTTGCATTTTGTATGCTGACGTAGGAACTGGAGAAATTACAGATGCCATCAGATGCCAAATTGATGACAGTTGCAATAAATGATTTGAATAATTTATCTCTATCTTTAGAGGACCGCCGTCGCGCATTACAGGAGCTCCTTGTACTTGTTGAGCCGATAGAAAATGCAAATGGTATGCAGCAATTATTTATTATTTGAATCCTTTCCACTACAAATATCATCAAACAAATTGAAATTTTGGTCAGTTTGTTAGTTTGATAAAACTTTTGGGGAGATTTATATGGTTATCTAAATATTTGGAGGTCTAACAAATTAAGAACCAATTGAATGCATTCCAACTATTGGGACTAGATAGAGTAGTATTACGTTCAGTAAGTTAAAGTGCAAAGGTGTGAAAACCCTAACTAGAATCAGTGTATGGCAACGGGAAATTAGAATAGAAGTTGAAGTAGTCAGATTCAACTAGGTAATTCTGCAAAGCTTGGGGTTTTAAACACAAAGGCAAAGAAAAAAACAAGAAATGAGATTTCACAGTGGAGAATAAGAAAGGAAGACTGTTATTATGGGTACTATCTATCATGCTTATATTGTTTTTCAGATTCTGCTTTAATCAGATCACTTGCTTTTACATTTTTCCTTTTAAATTTATGAAAATTATTTTGAGTAATTATGAGAATTTATTTTTTACTTTGAGAACCTATTTGTTGTTAGTCTTTGGAACATTATTTGAACCTGTCAAAGATGTGCTTGCTTGATGAAAATCAATAAACTTATTGCTGAAAGTTTGTTTATCGGAAGAATGTACTCGTTCCATCCTAAAGTTATCTATCCTATTTGCTATGGCAGGTAGCTTTAGGTGAGAGTTAAGTGAAAAATATAACTAATCTTACAATGTTGTTCTTAAAACTAGTGGTTGAGAGTTAGTCTCGTTACACTAAAAATAGTGGTCGGAAAATTAGTGGTATTGCATTAATACTTGAATGTGGATGGAAAATTTGGAGGAATAAGGTTTTATTGAGGAATTAGATTCTATATCTTTTATGTTTATAAGAAAATAGCAGCAAAAGAGTTTGTGCCAGAGGGAGTGTTAAAAAGCTGGTTTGTAATAAAGAAAAACATGTATGTTATAAGTTTATCTTTTGTCGGTGTTCACATGCTACAGAGTGAATAATAGCAAATGTTTTCACTTGTTTTGTTATGATATTTTTTCAGCAGTATATATGATTGTTGTTGTATTGTCCAGATTTACACAAACTTGGAGGGCTAACTGCAGTGATAAAGGAACTTAACAATCCAAACCCCGAAATAAGAATTATATCTGCTTGGATTCTTGGCAAAGCCAGCCAAAACAATCCTTTTGTTCAAAACCAGGTATCCATTCATTACCCTTTTTCCATTCAATCATTCAATGTTGTTTCTTGTGTCTGAGACACCCGTAATCTTTGCCCACTAAAAACTGCATATTAAAATTTGAAAATGCAGTTATATCTCTATCAATTAATACAGTCAGGTCTAGCAAAATTCTATTAATTTAGTGACACATTAAATTATCGAGCTAATAATTTAGTACGTTTTTACCGAGTTGGAACCGGAATTTATCGAGTATTAATTTATCGAGGTTCTACTACTGTATCAGATTTTGGAGCTTGGGGTACTAGCAAAATTAATGGAGATGGCACACTCTGATTTTGTTGAAGAAGCGACAAAATCATTATACGCAATTTCAGCCTTGATTAGAAATTATCCTGAGGGACAAGATTTATTCTATATGGAAGCTGGAGACTTGATGCTTCAGGTTGAACGGATTGATTAATGCAATTACCACTTTGGAATAATGAGACGCATCGTATTAGCAAGCTCTAAAAGTTCCATTGATTATTCCTCTTTTTTTTTCTTGGTTTTTTTAATGCAGAAAATTCTGAGTAACTCAAGCATTGATATCAGATTACACCGGAAATGTGTGTTTCTCTTGTCAGATCTGGTCGAGTTTCAGTTGGATGGCACAAGTAACAGGGAACTGCCTTTCTTAAGAAATCAGCACTTGTTAAAATCTGTGATTGGTCTACTTTTGTCGCCAGACCTTGATCTACAGGAAAAGGTCTTTTATTGTATTATATTTTATTTTGCGGTAACTTTGAACCGATTATTAAATGAACCATTTAATAATCATGTTTTTTGTGCAGGCCCTCTATGCAGTGAAGAACTTATTGATGCTGAGATCGAGTGATGCTCTTGTCTTTAAGGACGTCTGTGAATTGGATTTGGCATTATCGAGAATGAGGCAACAGTTGCAGCAATTGATTCTTGAAGACAAATTTAACGACTACGCTATTGACGTAGAAAATCTACGCAGAGAAGTTGAGCTCATTTTCCGTGGAAAGCTAGATATGGTTAGAACAAGTTTTGGTACAGTATTAAATTAATTAAAAAAATGAATTATGTCTCTAATTTGATATATGACAGACACAGGTTATACCAGCTTTGACGTGATGAACGGCTTGATGCTCCGATGGTGCTTCAGTTCTTTGGCCTTTTTTTATATGTTAATTTGTCGTGAGTTATTATGAGTTTAGAGCTTTATGAGCATTTTCACAATACATAACTTGTCAAAAAAATGTCATGAATTACAGCTTGTTATGAAATCGGAGAGGATTCACAATATTGGTATTCCATTTCTTAGAAACCGTTAACCGATTGAAACGTATTAAAAGGAAAAAGGGGAAAAATGAGCTTAAAAACAAGAGAAAATTAACCTAAGAACTACAATAACTATTCTGAATTGTGTTTTCTTTTTTCAAATATAGAGCTTAACACTTGTTATTAGCTACAATTAGGGTACCATTTTTTCATGGTGGTGGTTCAGGAGGAGGTCTTAGCCGATGTAAATGCAAAATTAGCCGTTGTTACACCCCAGAGTACATTATTAGCAAGCCAATGATTCTCTTCAACAACTTCTTGTGTTTTGAGTATCTATGAGTTGGAGTAAGGCAGTAAACCTCCCTTGGGAAATAGGGATAGAGGATATCCTTGTTCGTCGATCATAACCATAAACCAACTTCAGCGTTGTGCCCATTCACTTACTTTGAACAGAAGAGCACTTGATCGAGACCATAAACCAACTTCATAGGACCAAAAATGAGCCCAATTTAAGTTTGCTTATCAGTGAAGAATCCACCAGCCATTACCTGATTTCCAGTCGCTTTATCAATACGCAAGATCATCTGAACCATAGTATTCACCCTATCGGAGACTTGGAAGAATTTACCGTTTTGATTATAAAGTTGTTTTTCTTCTTTATATATTTTGTGCTTCTTTGTGAACCTGGACTGAGTTTGTTACATACCAAAGAGTCATCATATATATTACATATGTACACCATATACAGGCACCATAGATAAGAATCAGACGTATACATTTTTCTGTATGCATTTACATTGCTGCTTCTATTCTAGTATTACGACCTTAAAAGCCTTGCACCTGCGTTGGATGCTATCCAACTTGCAATAGTGTCGACAAGAAGATCAATGTCCTTTGTATTTTCAGAGCGGAAAATTCGTGAATCTGTAGTGAATGTACTGCCCACTTCTTTGGCAACCGACTCCCATGGTGTACCTGCAGACAATGTTGCCAATAATTCTCCTCCACGATTTACTGCATCTGCCATTCCTGGGGGTACATCTGGCATTACCTGATTTTTTTTATTTTGTTTTTAAAACATGTCGTTCTTCTTTCAACACATTGACTAGGATGAAATTTTATTGTTGCGTAAAACAACAAATTACATGCACACACTGTAAGTAAAATACATCCTCAAATGTTTGAATGAAACTTAAATCAACTTAAAATACCTGTTGTAGAGGCAGACCGTGATCCCCTGGTAACGAACGAATGGACATATCCAGCATTGAACTAATAGCAGATTCTGAGCTAAGAACCTGAGCTAGTCGGGAAGTTTCATCAATCGTATCATCTTTGAATTTTATTAACAAATTCCTTGATATGCCGTAATAAGACCTGATCTGCCAAACAAAATCATGTCGAAATAAATATCATCGATTTCTATTCATCATTAAATTTGTTTCTAGATGTGCAAAAGAAAAAAAAAATGCTCAAGCATAATAAACTATATTACCAATCGTTGGGTTTCTTCGGGCCTAGGAGAAAATTCGTCCCTGCCTTTAGCCAAGTCCATGTACAAGGGAGAAAGCTGCTCAACCAGAGGAAGAACTTGTTTCAAAATGGAAGGGCTAAGGTTCTCAAACTGCTTCCTAGTCATCTCAGCCTGCAATTATTAACTCGTAAAAAAATATTATCGCTCAATAGTCCTGATCTATATGAAGCAATAGCACGCAAAACTAACACAAACTTTGAGTAAAACAAAATGCAACATGAAGGGTAAGATATGCTATACTCAACTCGTGTTCGAACTACATTAAACATTAAAATTGATGAAACTTAAACTTGGGGTAAACCAAAATTTATAATAAACAACACATTGCAATAACTAGGTATTCATCCTCTAAAGTCTGAAAGTCGCCATGTTATACTATTAATCAAATTCGGGGTTGAAGAAGGGGCACAAGGCTTGTTTCATCTGTTAACTACTCACATACAAAAGAAAAACTTTTCTCAAGTTTCATGTTAGTTTCGTTCTGCTTCCATTTAAATATTTCATTTTTTATCCCTTCTGATTTCATGATTTAACATCAAAATAGCTCAAAATGCATTCATTCGTTCAATGAGTAACTAAAGTACCATGTTTTTCCTTTAACTAAATTCATTTGGATATAAGAAGGATTTCCTAAGAGGCCATTGTTTGGCCTTTGGACCTTAATACGATGCATACAGATGGTTTTTCTCAACAACAATAGCCGTTGCGAATTATTATTTGCTACTCTTCATGTTTCCTTACATTACCTGTTAACATATTACTTATGGGGATCACTATTTCAAATCCCAACTTTTGCTTACTTGAATACCAAAAAAATAAAAAATAAATAATTAATTGTAAATTACTTTAATACCCTTAATGAATTAAAACCAAAAAAATATTACAAATACTATTTTTCTTTCTTAAATACCAAATAATCAAAAATTCAAAAAAACCATTTCCCTCCTTACTCACAAATCCCTCACCTCCTCCACCTCCTTCTTCTCCCTCCCCAAAAACCCTTCTAAAAAATCTTCCTCACAACAAACCCTTCTACAAAATCTCACAACAAACCCTTCTAAAAAATCTCAAAACTAAAGAAATTAAAACCTCACAAAACTTATAAAATTGAGTTATAAGACAATAATATGGTAGTATATATGAAAGGATAACACATTAAGGTAAGTATCGATGTCTTTTTTGAGCTTCGAAGTCGATTTTGAAGTTTTTTTTTGAGAGAGACGTCGGCAAATTTCGACAGATCTAGGCCGGATGTAGGGCCACGTCTCGACAACCCCGCGTTGGAAACACTGTGGTAGAGCTCCTGGATCAGAATCCCAAATATTGGAGCTGAGCACGTGGAGACATCTCCTTATCTTATTGGTATGTGAGGAAAAAATATGGAGAATTGGCTGATATTTCTATTCGGTTAATGAAAGAGCCCAATGCAAAAAAAAATGCATGTTGGGTCTGAGAAACAGTCCAGATCATTTTGATAATTACAGGTTGGACTGTTTTTCCGAGAAGGTCTACGGTTCGAGTCCG